AAAAAAAAAAAAAAAAAAAAAAAAGAAGAAAAGGAAGAGGGGGCGGGGAGAACAAATCGGGTAGGGGGAGACAGAGATGAAGAGAGAAAAATCAGGGACGGAGCTCCAACAAAGACCCGGAGACTACAGCCAGAGGCAGAGAGAGGGTGACAGGCGGCGGGCGGGCAGGCGGAGGGCCGCCGCGGACCGGAGCCCAGCGCCGGAATCCCACCAGCGCGGCAGGACCGGGCGGCGGCGGCGGCTGCAGTGCTCCCGAGCGCAGCGCTTCCGGCCGCGGGCCCCCGGCAGCCTGCAGTGGGACGTAGCCGGCGGAAGGTCATGGCTGGGCCGGGGCGCTTTCCTGGCGTGGGGGTGGAGGACCTGGGAGCGCTGACCTTTAACTTCCCAGGTCAGACCACTCCGCGCGGCCTCTGACGCAGGGAACCCACCCGGTGCTAGCTCGCCCGCGGGGACGGGTCCTCTGGCCTGACCTTTTAAGTCCCTCCCCGCCTTTAAGGCTCAAAGTCCCTCCTTTCCCCCAGCCCAGGGGTTCTCCCACTTGAGCGCATCGCAGTCACCGTAAGGCTTTGTTCATTAATTTAATCGAACGATTTAATTAAGTCCGTGGTTTAATTGTTGTTGAACCCATTGTTGCCCGCTCACCCCACCCTCCTGTTTCTGATTCAGTGGGTTTCGGGTGGGGCCTAAGACTATGCATGTCTAATAAGTTCCCAGGTGATGCTGAGGCCTCTGTTCCGGGCACCAAGGCTTGAGAACCACTGCCCTGTATGGGACAATTGTCTCCCTCATTTTCCTCCTTAGTCCACAGAGTACCTCGTTCAGCCTCCCACTGAGCCTGCAACCCTTGACAGCTAAAGAAACAGGCAGGGGAGAGGGGATCTGAATTTGGGCAAAGCCAGGAGGGAACGAGCGAATCCCGACTCCCAGCCCAAGAGGCTGGCCCACAGCATCAGCTGCTTCCTCTAGCCTCTAGGGAGACATATGCGTGGGCTCCAGAACAGGGCAGAGCCCTGAGTAGTAAAAGCTGAGTGGAAAGCAAGGTTAATCAAGTCCCGCCCCAGGAAAGGGAGAAAGAAAGTCCTTTTTCTTCAGGAGGGGAGAGAGTGCATGGAGGATGCCTATCCATCAGCTAAGCGTGCCCCAAGCAGTGCCACTGACACTCACTTATTCCAAAAAATGTTAGTTGAGCAGCTACTCTATGCCAGGCACTGTCTGGGTATTGGGGATAATGGAGGAAATAAAACTGAGGTCATTGTCTTTAGGGAGAATGCTTTCTGGTAGGGAGATTAACAATAAACATAGTAAAGAGTAAATTATTGAGTATGTTAGAAGGTAATAAATGTGATGCAAAAAAGAAAAACAAAACAAGAGTAAGGTAAGGGAGTGCCAGTGGGTGCAATTTTAAACAAGATGATCAAGGTAGGCCTTGTGGGGAAGGTGACAGTTGAACCAAGAGTTAAGGTAGTTAGCCATGTGATAGCTGAGAGGAGAACTTTTCGGTAAGGGGAACAGCTGGTGCAAAGGTCCTGAGGCAGGAGCATGCCTGTGTGTTTGAGGCCCCACGAAGAGGTCGGTGTAACTGGGGTGGAGGTGCGGTGCAGGAAGAGCTGAGTTGGAGATGAGGGCAGAGAGGTAAGGGGCAGGCAGGAAGATATTATAGGGCTGGGTGGGCCATTCATAGGGGCTTGACTTTTACCCCAAGATGTTCCTCCATTTTTCTTTACTTTTTTGCCCTGACTGTTCTTGCCTCTTCCATCTACAATACCGGGTCTAAGAATAGTGTTAATCTGGCTCACAGCTGGAGCTGGTTCTGAGAAAGAGACAACTTTCAGCAAGTCAGTCAGCCCCACCTTCTCAGATTGGGGGCTTACAAAGTTTGTAGTAATAGAAAGTTAGAAAGAGTAATTAGATAGAAGGATAGGAGGTTAGCAGTCCACGTTTGCCTCAGCATCCTCAGCATTCTCTTCTCCCATCATTCTCCACGCCTCCTCCAGGCTCTAGTTTCCCTGATGCCCCTGCTCCCTGACTCTCCCCAGCCTTCTACATCAGCATTGTCCAATCAAAATATAACATGAGCTGCACATGTAATTTAAAATTTTCTAGTGCCCACATTAAAAAAATAAAAAGAAATAGACAAAATTAATTTTAATAATAGAGTTGATTTAACCCAATATAACCAAAATAGCATCATGTCAACATGTAATCAGTACAAAAATTAATGAGATGTTTTACTTTATTTTTTCCTATGCTCAGTCTTTGAAATCCAGAATGTTTTTTATACTTATATCACAGCTCAATTCAGCCTAGCCTCATTTCAAGTAGTCTAAAGCTTCATATGGCTAGTGGCTACTTGGACATCACCACCCAGACTACACTCCTGATCTTCCCTGGCCTTCCCCTCCTCAACATAACTCCTCCTGTTTCCAGAATAAGCTGACACTTCCTTCAGGAAGCCTTCATTGATTTCTTCACTTCCCTCATTGGTCTGTGAGAATTAAATGAGTTAAACTCTATGAATATAGAGTACTTAGAATAATTCCTGGCACAAAGTAAATTCAATTGAGCTTTTAGCTATCATTATTATACCACTTACTGCAACTGTAATACACTGATTGTTGTATAACTCTTATTTCCTGTTTTCCTCTCCCGGCTACACTGAAAGCTCCATGAGAAGAAAATGGCTGCCTTTTTCACCACTCTACCCTCAGGGCCTTGTGTCTGGCACAAGTAGATGAACAGTCAATATAAATGTATTGAATGAATGAATAAATGAATAAGAAAATATGCTTGGAGTTATGATTAACTATTTTAATTCTAACATTACAGTAGATAATCATAATCCTGGACGACATGATATCAGGTTCCATTTTTACAGAAGTTCAGACAGTAGGTACTAAAGAGAAATGAAGTCTGGTTTCAAAAATGAAAAAAAAAAAAAAAAAAAAGCAGGGTGGTGTGGTGAAAGGGTCCAGACTCTGAATTCAGACAGACCTGGGTCTGAAGTTCTGTTACCTCACTCACTACTTGTATGACTTTGGAGAGGTTAATTTCCCTGTGCCTCAGTTTCCCCATCTGTAAAATGGGGATGTGAGCACTTCTTTACGTTATGTACCTACATGCATAGTTAGTTTGTAAGTGGCAAGAACACAGGTTCCAATCTCAGCCCAGCTACACTTTGGCATGTTATTTACCCCTCTGTGCAGCAATACAATACAATGCAATGTGTGTGCATTGTTAGTATTTAATGAGATATGATACTATACATACAAAGGTTTGATACACATTAGATGCCCACATTAGTGTCTTTAGTTTTTCTTTCATTTCCCAGAGGCATGTGATCTTTCTATTCTCCTTCTCCTTTTCTTCATCAAAGGAGAAAAGTTCAAGCAGTTTATTTACTATTTTGGGGAAATTTCACCATCCTGCCTAGTAGGTAGTGTGAAACAGGTTCAAGTTAAGAAAAGGCCCTTTGTCAAAACTGTAAAACATGCCACTTTAGTCTCCCTGCCCTTTTGTCTCTTTCTTCAGCCTCCCTACTTCCAGAAAGTCCTTCTTTTGTACCATTTTGATTCCTGGCATTTTCTTCTCTCTCTGGCTCCCAGAGACAAAAGTAATTCCCACCCACAGTGAATTTTGCTGCGTGTTGAAGAGGAATTCCAGGCACCTAGAAATGGTTGCTACTCATTCCTCAGCATTCTCAAAGCTCTCTCTAGCTCTGCTACAGTGCTTTTTCCATTACTTCCTAATGTCTGTTGAATGCATTCTCCCCCACCAGACCCCTGAACGGTACGGGCAGATACAGCCACGTCTCTCAGGATCCCAGCCCTTAGCAATCAGCTAGACACATAGTAGGTGCTGGATGAACGTGTGCTAAACACATACGTGCACGCATGATGTCTGAGTGACTGTTTCTCATTACCTCCCCTCGGAAATGCCCAGAAGACTGATTGTTGTGTGCAGTGAGAGCTGTAACAGGAGGAGTTTGGCTGCTTGTTTAGAAATGAAATGGAACACGCCGCAAAGCTCAGCTCCACCGTCTGCTTTCCTTTGGTGTCCTCTGGGGACGAAGGGGAGGAGGGAGGGGGTGGGGAGCCCAGGAGGGCTGATAAGGTGCCCTCTTCAGCACTGAGTCAGCAACACCCAGCCCTGTGGACAGAGGAAGATCCCGCTTTCGGGGGCTGAGTCACATGAATAACTGGAATAGTTGTTGTTTGGATCATAATGAATTCCCAGAACCTTTCCTGGCCAACCAGCAGGCACTTGCTCTCTCCCTAC